GAAGTGATTTTGTTTAGCCTACTTTGTCTTTACTTTCAAACTTTAACATGGATAATTTGAAAAATATCTATAATATATTACCATTCAATTATTTTAATAATAACTTACTTTTTATTTTTCAACATATAATAAATATTTCAAAATCTTTGTCATATTTGAATTTCGTGTTATTAATTTTCAATTAATTAACATTCACATTAATCTAGACTCAGTAAATCTTGATCTACGTGAATATAAAGTTATTATAGATGAATTTATTTTTATTCATGTATATAAAATTTTTATTCACATTAATATGTGTTTAAATTCATGTATTAGAAATTAATTTTTATGTACCAATGTGTTATGTAGTATAAAAATGTTGCTCATTTGTAATATTTCATCATCACAAAAAATTTGAATTATAGAAGTTAAGTTTTGAAAATACATTTTTCATTCGATATTTAATAAGTGGAATCGTTGGGTCCAAACTTAATCATGGGTTCGTTCGAGTTCGATTTCATTCGATTTGGTTCGATTCGACTCTATTCGGTTTCCAAGTTCCGTATAATTAATTTTTTTATATTTACAACAATACTACATTAATTCGACTATAACATGTTTAATCTTAACTTTTACAAAATAACGTAGTCTAATTTAGTGATATCTTTTGCATATTTTTTTGTTGAGTTCTTTATAGATATGACTGTTAAAATCAAAAGAAGTGGAAGATAACGAGTTTACAATAATAAAATAGCGAAACGATACTACGATAGAATAAGAGATTTGGGTAAAATTTAGGTCAATTTGATTAAGTTGGGTTTGACTGAAANACTATGGTAGAATAAGAGATTTAGATAAAATTTAGATCAATTTGATTAAGTTGAGTTTGGCAGAATATTGAAAATAGTAAAATCATATTTTAGGTTTGAACTAAATTAATTAGTTAGCAAATGCTTTTAATAAAACATAAAATAATTTGACTTTTTTAAGATAAAAAATTAGGAAGATTTGGTTCTTCGGTTCTAAATCTAGAATCGAGAATCGAACCAAACCTGTCTATTCTTGATTTAGATATTCGACCGGGTATTTAATTTAAGAAGAACCGCTCGGTTCGGTTCTGGTTCGATTCAGTTCGGTTCGGAAGTTTTGTCAAACCCTAATTTTTTTCTCTTAAATTTATATCCTAAATATATTTTATTTTTATTTGTTTGAGATTCATCAAATCCTCTCAACAAATTTGTATCAAATATTATTTTTATAACACTTATAAAGTATTACTTTTACAGCTCATGCCGAACCACTCTATACAAAGTCATTAAACAAATAGTTTAATTCTTAATTCTTCAAACTTTTACTCAACACTCCACAAAATATGAAAACAAGTTTGATAGAGGATCCAAGATGACGTGAAAGAATGGTCGAGGTGGACTTCGAAATATTTTGTCATACTTTTTTCTTAAACTCATTTTTCAATAATATATTTTATATAATTCATAATTTTTATTAGTCTTTATCAACATTTACTAAAAAATTGATTTTTAACCAAACCGAACATGGGCAAATTGTAACGGGTAAAAATCTGATTTCGTTAGTTTTAATATGAAATTTTTAATATAAACTTTTGTGATGGTTCAGGCCAAAAAACACTAGACAACATCCTGGTCATGGCTCTTTGGGTTGGTCTTCCTTTTTCTAGGAGCAACAGTATTAGGCTAGAGACTGTACAGAAAAATTCTTACATAAAAAATACAAATACTCGCATGGGGATGGGCCCCATGTGAAATAAATATTACCAAAAAAGAGGGTCCACATATTTGTGTGTATTATGTATGCTTTCTATGTGTTTTTTTCTATATACATAGACTCTCTTGATGATTCATGCCTTGTGATTAGATTTCAGTTGTGCTCTAAATGCATGATCCTGA